AGGCCCACGGGCCCCACCAGCGGGCCGGCCATCTGCGGGCAGAAGCTCATGGCCACCGCCTGCTGGAGGGTGGCAATGGCCGAGGTCACCTGGGGCTGTGGCGGGGCGTAGAGGGAGGCGGCGTGCGGCTGGAACTCTGCCTGTTGGACCATCTCCCGGTCGTACTTGACGATCTCCTGGATGATCTCGTTCTCCTGGTTGTTGAAGACACCCGAGTTGAGGTCGTGCTGGACTTTGTGCAAGAGGATGGAGTTCTTCTTGCCTGGGGAAGACCAAAGGGGGGGGGCGTGAGATGGGGGTTGGACCCACAGGCACCCGAACCCTCGACCGGCCTTGGCGGCTCTCTCTCTCATCCACCGAGATCTCCAAGAGCAGCCTCAGCTCCCACCCATCCTCCTCCTCCTCCTCGTAGAAACCACAGAATAACAAGAGTGGGAAGGGGCCTCTTAAGCCCATCAAATCCAACCCCCGGCTCACGGCAGATCGGCCAAAGGGGCTGTCTCAATTTCTCTTGAAGGCCTGGGAGCATTCACCGCCTCTCGAGGTCGTGGGTCCCATTGTCATACTGCTCTAACGGTTAGGAAGTTTTTTCCCTGAGATTCAGCCCACATCTGGCTTCCTGTCGTTTGAGCTCCTTATTATGCGCCCTGCACTCTGGGATCAACGAGGAGAGATCCTGCCCCTCCTAACTGCTTCTCCCACCACTCGGAATGGACCTAGTTGAGATGTGGGAACCCTCCTGTGTCCCTTAGCCCGTGATTCTCCTGTTTGGAGGCATGCACTCGCACCCATGGAAGTGAGCCGACGGGAGCCCTCTGCTGAGAATCAGCCCAAAGAACTGGACGCACCAGCCTCTGATGGGGCAGAGGATCTGGCTGGCCCTCCAGATCCCAGAGACCCGTGAGCCTGATCCTGTGGATCGTAGAGAATAATGAAGTTAGAAGGGGCCTCTAAAGCCATTGGGGATACAACCCCTTGCTAAGTGCCGGACAGTGGCCTCGCTTTCTCTTGAAGGCCTCCAGCACTGGAGCGTTCACCACCTCCTAAGGGGAACGGATTCCCTTTTCATACTGCTCTAACAGTTAAGAAGTTTTTCCTGACTGTCAACCGAAATCTGGGTTCCTGCCGCTTGAGCCCATTATTGCACATCCAACACTCCAGAACGACATGACCACCTTTAAGTGGCTCAGGGCAACATCTGAGGAACAGGGAGGGAAGAAAGTGGGAGGCACAACGTTCATTGGCAACCCTAGCATTGAACTGCTTGACTTCTACTTGGGAATGATGAGAGGTCCTTGAGTGAGTTGGGGTCTCCTCAGAGGTGAGCTCTTCCCACCAGGGAGGGAAACCTGGGAGCTACGCTCGTCCTGTGAGTTCGATCCGGCCCTCCTCTCCCATAAACTCCACTCTCCCCCTCCCTTGCCAAGTCTCTACCTATGCGGTCGAGGCGGTCAATGGCCACCGTCTCAAAAGCGCGCCTCATCATGGGGTACTCTTCCAGGACTTCGTTGAAGTTGTCGACCGACAGAGAGTAGAGTCGGCAGTAGGTATCGGCCCGTACACTTGCTGTGCGCCGTCCTCGCGTCAGAAGGCAAATTTCTGGAGAGCGAGAAAGAGAAAAAAAAGAAAGATTGAAAACCAAAATGTGTTCCTCATTTAGAACATAAGATCCCCACCGCCCATCTACACATACCCTCTGGGTGAAATACCATCTTCATCCAGCCTCCAAAGGGTTTCAGGATTGGGAGAGACCCTCTATTTCTTTATTTGAAATATGTTTACCCCGCTTTCCTCCTTAAACAGGAACCCAAGCCAGCTAGCAGTATTAAAAGACAATATTGAAAAGCTGGAATGCAAACTTGTTCACTTGCATGCAAATATCACATCGAACCAATGCCGCACTAAAAATGGTGAACCAACTCAACATGCACACAAAACAAATTCAAAGCAACAAGGCACAACCGTCCATTGAAAAACCTCACTCAGGCAGGCAGGCCTTGAGGGAAAGCAAACGGTGTAACTTTTACACCCACAATTGCCGTTAAGAAACCTCCCAAGATGTTCTCTCCGGAAACCTGCGTGGCAAGATTTGACATGCCACAGATCATGCCTATAGAGATGCCTGAACTTCAGTAACTTGCATCCCAAAGTTATACTGTTTGTGTAACTACGCAACAAGATTCCAGTCCCTATGAACTAGCACCTCACTCAATTTTCTGGATTTGTTTGAGGGACGCAGTTCAAGGATCTTGTACCCTTATAATCCAGGAAGAGCCCACAGCTGCCTTTTCGGTTTTTCCTTTCCCTCAATTGTCTCTGCCTGAACGGAGGTCTTATCGGACCCGGACAACTTGCGAACAAGGCTAGCTTGTTTTTTCCTTATCCCTCCCCATCGCTCTTTCCTCTCCTGTGCCGCCTTTTTCATGGCCAACCTAGAGGAGGAGAGCAGGATCGTCTTGTTTGATCAGATGTGGGCGAGCCCTTCCAGCAGAGAAGAAAAGGATGGCACAAATTAGGAACAACAACAAATTTAGCTCTCGCAGTGAGAGAAAACTGGATGTGCCTTTACATCGCCATCTGCCGGTGGGAGAGGACAACGAAGCCACTCCTTGCAGACATGTCATCCCTCTACAACGTGACTGGTTTTAAAAGCTTCCCATCAGACAGACGTTAAAAGAACCTGCCGTGTTTGCCCGGAGGACTGAGAGCTGCAGCCACCTATTAATGCTGCAGTCCTCGTTCGCTCCGGCGGCCCAGGCGACCGACAGCCTTCCAGTTGGCAAGGGGCTGCACCCACACGCTCCTCCTCTTCTCCCCCAACATCTCGCCCCACAGCAGTTCAGGAACAGCAGGCTTTGTGTACCTGACCCCATGGCAAAGGAAGAAGGCTTCCCCAATCACAAGAGCTGGCTGGCTTCTGAGTAGACCCACCGGGTTTTCCCAGGAGGTTCAAACCCAGTTGCAAACCCACCCACCCCTACGATACTGAAGGTGGAACAAGCAATTTGGAGCTGGCCACAGGTGTGGGTAGATATAAAAGTGTTGGTATAGCTTGGTGGGTGGGCGGGGAGGTGGGCAGGTAGGTGAGGAAAAGAGAGAGGGATAAATAATCTTCGATCTTAGGATGGCAGGGCTGGAAGAGACCCTGTGGGGTCATCCAGTCCAGCCCCTGTCAAGTGGGGATTTGAGCTCCCAGCCTCTGGCTCTACAGCCAGATGTTCCCCTATCCCACAGCCCAAGAACAGCCCAGATAACAGCTCCCTTCAGTACAAGAGATTTTGGGGTTTTTGCAAGGTTTTTAAAAACTTCACAACTTGACAAATGTACCACAACTCTCGGAAGCTGTTGTGGTGAACTCACTTCCAACTACTCTTCTATTAAGAATGGGAAGAGGCTGTCTGGTTGGTATCAGTCAGAATTGACTTGGCATAACAAGGCTAGCATGGGAAGAGACCCTGAGGTATTGAAGTAGATATGTGATAGATGGATAAAGAGAAGGAAGGAGCTGATCATGGAAGGAAGGATGGACGGACGGACGGATGGACAGAAGGAAGGAAGGGAGCTGATGATGAATAGAAGGAAGGAAGGGAGCTGATGATAGATGGATGGATGGGTGGATCCATGATGGGATCCTGTAGGAATCTAGAAAGTTCCCTCTGCTGTTATTCCAGGAGGGTCAGGGAGAGATCCGCCCTTGGACGAAGGGCAACTCCCCGCTCGGCCCCACACCTTTCTTAGGCCAGAGTCGCAGAGATCTTCAGCCTGGGAGACACCCTCCCAGCCGGCCTCACCTCCAAAGTAGGAGCCGTCCGACAGCTTCATCTCCTTGTTCCCTTTGGTCAGGACGCTGACCACCCCATGCTGGATGAAGTACATCTTCTTCCCAATGGTCCCTTCCCGGATGATGTAGTCGCCCGGCTGGAAGACCTCAAACTTCAGCTTGGTGAGCATCGCGGTCACAAAGTTGGGGTCGGCATTGGCGAAAAGCGGCATGGAGGCCACCAGCTTCCGGCAGTTGAAGTTGACGATCTCCTGGCGAGCGAGAGGAGAGTTAAATGAAAAAGAGATGAGGATTAGACAGAAACACCAAGCTTTGGCTGTTCCGAGAAAGTGAGGTTCTTTGCACGCCTGAAAAAGAGGAGGAAAATTTCTCAAACCTGACCATAACTAAGCTCGAAAGGAACACATCAGACGTGAACCCTGTGACTTACAACTAATACTTAATTGCAGCCACAAAGAGCGAGAGGAGAGTTAAATGAAAAAGAGATGAGGATTAGACAGAAACACCAAGCTTTGGCTGTTCCGAGAAAGTGAGGTTCTTTGCACGCCTGAAAAAGAGGAGGAAAATTTCTCAAACCTGACCATAACTAAGCTCGAAAGGAACACATCAGACGTGAACCCTGTGACTTACAACTAATACTTAATTGCAGCCACAAATTCCATTTACAGTGGGGTCTCTACTTAAGAACGTCCCTACTTAAGAACATCAGACGTGAACCCTGTGACTTACAACTCATACCTAATTGCAGCCACAAATTACATTTAAAAACAACAACATGGTGTCCAATTTTCTCTTTATGTTTTCCAGTTCCTTTGTTTCTTTGCCTTAAGAACACCATTCCAAAACCGATTAAGTTCTTAAGTAGAGGTTCCACTGTAGTTTCTATGGGCGGAAAAGAGCAGATACGGATTAAATGGTTTTCAATGCATTCCTATGGGAAATGCAGATTCAACATAAGAACTTTCCAACTTGAGAACCACCTTCCAATACGGATTAAGTTCTTAAGTAGAGACCCCACTGTAAAAACAACAACATGTAATGAGTTTACTGGTGTCCAATTTTCTCTTTATGGTTTCCAGTTCCTTTTAGAAGTTTCTTTGCATTGTGAGCCAAAATGTCCCAAGTTTTATGCTTCTCTCTTACTAAGTCTTGGTTTCAGGGTACGGGAGTCATGGGAAAATATTGTTTTAAAATTTGAAGGAAATACTGTATAAATAGTAAGTAACACAATGGGTTATTGTTTTTCAAAAACTCTGTTATGAAAAATAATTCTCCTGCGTTCCATTCTTAGTTGTTTTACCCTTACTGCTCCATTCCTTTAAAATAAAAACTTCAACATTCGTAAGGGTGTAGCATAAAATCTGGCATTGGTTGGTTGAGTTTAAGAAAGAAAAACAGCCTATTCAGTCATCAGCAAATGGATTGTCATTTATTAATTAATGAGCATCATTTCAGCCAGCACAAGCCTCAGGTCAGTTCGAACAGCTTGTTCACCTGAGTGTTTTGAGTTTTTTGGTTTTTAGTTTAATCAACTGTGTGGCTTCTCGCAAACTCCTTTTACATGGTTTTAAGTCCTGTTCACAGGTGAGAATATCAGATATTAAAAAGGATAGAAGGATTTTGTTGAAGGAAGCAATAGCAGCATTTGATCAATGAATTAAACTAGTAATATAGTGGATTTGCCACTGGGTAATAAAAGAAAGGCAGAAGGCAGTAGGGAAAGAGGAGGACCAAATATGAGATGGATGGACTCCTTAAAGGACGCCTCAGGCTTGCATTTGCAACATATGGACTCCTTAAAGGAAGCCACAGGCTTGCATTTGCAACATCATCATCATAAACAACACACAACATCAGCTTTAAAGTACAGATGAAACAGTGGTATACATTCTTAGTTCTGCTCTGTGGCAGAGAATTATGGACTTTGCAACACTATGGCAAGCATCCCATTGCGGATTTATATATCGGCATAAAGGGAAATGACTTGGAAGCCCATCGCTCTTTGTTCCCAAGTGCTGGTGGCGTTCCCAGTAATCGTGGCTTCCCAATGCAAGCTGAGACCCAGACCATGTCAGCCGACCGAGGGTCTTGTTTTATTTATTTATTTTATTTTATTAGATTTATACCCCGCCCATCTACTCTGGGTCCTGGGCGGTGCCGCGTTTTACCTCTCGCAAAGGTTCGTTCAGCTCCTCCAAAATGCTGTCTTCGTCGAACATCTTTCCCTGGTACCGATGCTCGTAGTAGTCGTGAATTCTCTGGCGGAAGTCAGTGGGCAGCTTGTGGAAGGACATGTACTGTTCCACTTGCTTGTACTGTGTGAGATGGGGAGAAAAAATTCATCAATGCGTTGCTCCCTTCTTACAAATGCCTTGAGATCCATATTTTGAATGAACCCGACACTCGGTTGTTTCTGGGGGGGGGTCTACCGGGGGGGGGGTATGTGGGTCTCCTTCCCATCCGGATCCCTCTAAGGATTTCTGAAGGACAAGACATGTTCAAGGAGTGGCTTCCCACCATCACCCTCAAGACAGTCTCTACGGCTCATCAGGATTTGAACCCAGGTCTCTGTGGCTCTACCCACTGCTCAGTCTGTCACTTCGCCAATCAGTCACAGAAGGCATGGGGCTAAAAAATCAGAATAAATTGCATTTTTTAAAAAAAGTCTGTCAACCAAAAAGGGGAAAAGACAAGAAAGCCGGACAGACGTCGGCTTGTTTCAAACTCAGCCCTGCCTGGCAGGTGGCCCGACTGGGAATAAGCCAGCCACACGATCGAGAAAAACCACCCACTGAATCATTTTCCATCAAGAGGACTTTGAGGGACGAAAGCCCCAAGACCACAGCAAACGTGGAAGCCTCTTTTACGCATTATCAGGAAATCCTGGCAGGCAGAGAGAGAGGGAGAGGGAGAGGGACCGGCTTGTTCCCAAGAGGGGCTACCTGCCAAAGACTGCTATTTGCCAAGATGGAGGTGAGAGGATGCCACCCCCACCACCCCCGTCCCCAGGAGAATGCTGCTGCTGAGCAGAAGCCCGACTGGCAGCTGCCTCCCGGTCGTGGCTGCCTTGCGCTTTCCTCTGCAGGAGCCACGAGGGCATGTCAAAACCCAGCAGAGTCCAGAGAACAGAAGTGGAATAAATACATACATACTCACTCCACTGAAGATTTCTGCATTTAAAGCAGGACTCTTATATTCTTCCGTGGAGGGAGATTCCCAACGAAGCTCAGGAAAATGACTTTCCAACAAATACAGTCCAGAAATGTGCTGACAAGGGGCAGTAGGTCATTCTGTGAGGTTTTCAGGGCCCCCCCCATCCCCCCCCCAAGTAATTTTTTGCAGCTTCGATTTCACATTTGTAAGAATTCTCAGAGTTTGGGAACCACACACATCTTGAATTGATTTCATTCCTCTGCCCTCTTTCCCCCAGAATTGACTGAGAGCCAAAGTAGCTTCCAGGATGGTTTAAAAGCAGAGCCAATTAAAACAGGTAATAAAACATCAAACATTAAAAACAGAATTCATTAGGGTTTGCATACAACTAAAACTCCTTAAAAACAAAATCAATTAAAAACGGCAGTACTTTTATGCAGAAACTAGTCCGTTAACATTCAACGTGTTCACTTTGTTAACTTTTACTGTTCTTTTAAAAGGTTGGATGCAGTTAATGCAAAAGGAGTGGTTTACGTGTTGACAGGTTAAATCTATGAAATTTGCTTCAAACTCTTTTTCATGCGCACCCATCGGTTTCCACCCACCCACCACCACCGCCCCTTATCCATTCCGTACTTTCTCCTGGTACTGCCGCCGGGAAGAGTCCAGGGATTGGATCAGGGCCGTGGCGTGGCCGATGAACATGGCGTAGCAGGTGGCGCCCACGATCATGCTCAGCATGGTCAGCCAGATGTCGGTCATGCTCTCTGGGGCCTGGCGCCCGTAGCCGATGCACAGCATGTGGCTCATGGATTTGAAGAGGGCGAAGGAGTACAGTTCGCTCCACGAATCATTCTGGAGAAGCAAAAAGAAGGCGACTCAGGGTGTGCACCATAGCGCCCGGCCTGTGAGCTACAAGTGTGCAAAGCATGTCGGATTTCACCAGCTGCTTAGCTCATCTTTGCTGCTGATCAGCAAGTGCGCCACCTTTTAATAATAACAATGATCTTAGGACGGCAGAGTTGGACGGGACCCCTAAAGATCATCCAGCCCAGCCCCTGTCAAGAAGACCCCATGGGGGATTCGAACTCCCAACCTTTGGATTCCACAACTAGAGACCAAAACCCCTACGCTATCCAGCCAGCTAAATAACTGAACCTTAACTTGGACATTTCACACCTTCATCCTTATCGTCTTACAACTACAGAGCTGGAAGAGACCCTTAAGGATCATCTGGTCCAGCCCTGGTCCACGAGGCACACAGTGGGGGAATTCGAACTCCCAACCTTTGGCTCCACAGCCAGAGACCTCCACCCGACAGAGCTCTCCAGCAGTTCTTCAGCTGCCTTTCCCCACAACTCTTACATTGTCCATTCACACTCTGGGCACCTTTATCTAGATTGAAAAGTAAAGGATAAACCGTTTTTAACTCAAGAGGGTGGGCAGGTAAGGAATTGTCTTTTGTTTTTCTTATTTTCGCAAGGTTCATCACGGGCCAGGGATGTTTGCAAAAGCCGCTTCTGTGTTTTCAAAAGGATACTTCCTCCTCGGGAGAAAAATATTTTTTGTAGATGGCCAAAGATCTACAGCCACTAAAAACTTCTTTTGTGCTCATAATACTCCTTGCCCCATTCCGGGTAGAGCACCCAGTTTGGATGAACAGGAACTCATAAAGAGTCACGACAGGTCCCGTCCTCCATGGACGAATAATTCGCCCTTTTGCTTTGTATTAGAAAGGACGTAAAGAAACCAAAAATCAAAGCGGGAAAGACTCAACACCCAGGGACAGCAAATCACTCAGAGAGGCAACAGGAGAACTCTCCCAGCTTTGAGTTTGTAACAGCCTAAGGCATTTTGGAGGGATTTCCCAGAACTCAGAACCCTTCGTTTCTGTCTAGCCTTTATTTTTCTAGCTTATGGCTGGGAAGACCTGCGGAGTAGCTGAAATACAAGTCAACCAACAACACAGCCAAAAGACCAGGCTATTTCTGCCTTGGATTTATCGTCTTCAGAAAGACACAACACGAAAGGAAAAACAAATGTGGAGGGAAAAGGAACAACTCAGGCCAATGACCTCCGAGTTCCCATCCCCTTAGCTGAGCCCTGGGGAGTGGGAGGACCAGCGACCGCTCCAGACACCATGGGTTTTCAACCTGGGTGTTGAGTCTTTTACTCTGTGATTTTTGGTTTCTTTACGTCCTTTCTAATACAAAGCAAAAGGGCGAATTATTCGTCCATGGAGGACGGGACCTGTCGTGACTCTTTATGAGTTCCTGTTCATCCAAACTGGGAGCCGTTTGATCACTCAGAGAAACTGGCCTGTGGAGGTTATTATTACAACTCCCAACAAACAGCATGGCTGGAAAGACAGCACCAGAAACCAACCACAAAACCACTTGGGTGGTTAGTATCTAAAGAATGATTTGTTCCAATTTTTGCTTTCATTTGACAGGTTCATGGCCCTCTGAGTCCCTATGGGCAAAAAAAAATAAATAAGAAGAAGTTCTTTTAATCAATGAAGAGGGAATGAATTAAAGGAGCAACAGGAAATGAGGTGTGTTCCTAGTCCTCATTGAGGTCTTCAGTGTACACCTAATGATGGACTTATAAAGAGACGACCAGGAAAGAGAGCAGGAGGTTTGAGATGGCTAACATTTCAGAAAGTTTTGTTCCCAAAGAGGAAAAAAGGCGATCTATAAAGGCTTTAAATTGGTTGGTGGCACCCAAGCATGTTCCCAGTATTCACTGAAGTTCTTAATGAACCTCAAAAACAGTAGGATCCTACATATCCATGGGGGAATTGGTTCCAAGCTCTCCCACCACTGCAAATGCTGGAAAAAAATGAATTACAGTACTGTATAGTTAATACTATACATATCACATGGTCTCTGGCTCTCTCTAGTGGCCAGTTCTGACAACTTCATCTTTAGAAATATTTTTCTAGGATTTTTCTTTTAATATTTTTCAGAGCGTGGATGAGTGAATCTGTGGATACCGAAGCCGCAGATAAGGGGGTCCTCCTGGGCACCTACCACCATGCCATTGATAGAGACCCAGCAGTCTCTCGGGAAATCCTGCAGCATGGGGACGAGGAACTGGAGGCAGCCATCCCAGTGGCACAAGAGAAGCATCATCCCAATGAGGTTGATGATCCGCATTACGGCACTGGCCAGGTCGTAGGTCATGTGGAAGATCTGCAGCAGAAGGGGCAGAAGGATCGGGGGTGGGGTGGGGGGGGAGAGAAGAAAGATAAAGAGAAAATTGGTCACCATAAATCCTCACCATCTCTCCCCAACGTGTTGCATCCTCTCTGGCTCTGATTTAGCCTGAATGTTGCAGGGAGCTGTCCTGACAGGTTGAACCCTTCAGCCTCCTCTGGTAAAGTTTGGACTGAGACCCAAAGCAGGTTCACAGTGCTCACAAAATGTATGGAGTGATGTGTGGCGGATGATGAATTAATAGCTTCCTGAAGACGCTATTATGAAGAACAGCCCTCCTTAGGATATATTTTGGGCCCAACAGGAGATGGGCGAGAAAAGACGAGATGCGCTGGGGGAAAAGTTAAAGGCAGTAGGAAAAGAGGAAGAACCCCAATGTGAGATGCATTCACTCCAGAAAGGAAGCCACAACATTTGAGTTTGCAAAAGCTGAACAGGACTGCTAACGACAGGACGTTTTGGAGGCTGCTCATTGATGGAGTTGGAGGCAACCTGACCACATAATGCCAACAAAAAATCAGAGGTGATTTCAAGGCAAGTAAGAACGATAAAACATATCTAGAAGTCACCCTTTCCAGGGCTGAATCCAGATTTATTCCCATGTCCAGCACGCCACTGATTCCAGTGAGTCTACTTTTAGCATGATTAAATCTGGATCCACCGTACAGTTTCACGCCCCAGGCCATTTGCAATGTGGACGAAAACGAAAACAGTCAGCGCATCATCCAGAAGCAGCCCATAATACTCATCTCAGAGTGGCTGGGAGTACAATTTAAATCAGGAAAATCAAATGCCTAGAACAGATCCATATCGTTAACCCCAAGGACAGCCTATGGCACAATATAAAACCACCTCCCAGAAAGACACAACCCATAATATTAATCTCAGAGCAGTTTGCAGTATAATTAAAAACAAAACATTTAATAAGATACAGCAATACACTCATTAAAGGTAATAAACCAGCAGCACCATTAGCACAGTGCCCAAAAAGGATCATAATTAAACACAGCAAAATAAATTTCCGGGTTTTTAAAATATCGTTGCCGCCACCAGCTGTTTCCGAAGTCCAGGCTTTTAAATGGCCAATGAGGATACAGAAAATGAGGGAGGGGGTTGATAGCTAAGATATAATTCAACTGCCCAGGTTTCTTGGTGGGGGAATTTTCACCCCGGATGAAAAAACATTTCTGGCCACTGGAAAGAGGAACAGCTCAGTTGAAAAGTGGCCGCTTCACATGCCATTTATGCTGATATCTTGTAGCAGGGAGTTCCACCATTTAAAGACTATGCTGGGTGAAAAATATCCTTTCTTTTCTCACTGTGGTGAATCCCCCACTTTTTAGCATCAATGGGTTTCTAATTTCCCGAAAAAGAGACAGAGAAGCTTCCCCAGATGTATCTTTCGCACGAAACACCTTGTTTTATACGCTTCAGACATCTCCTGATTTAACCACCTTGTTTTCTAGGTTAATTGGATGCCGTTTTTATCTGCTTTCCTCCATAAATATCCACGCTATGGCCTACATCAAATGTGACGTGGGGGGAACCGCTGTGTTTTGGGGTGCTCCCAATACAGTTTGCCAAACACACATTTTGGATCCGCCTCCTCTGGTGGTTTTGGGGTGCATGAGAGAAAGGTTGGAAACTGCTGCACAATTTTGAATTTTTTGTTAGATCCCTCCCAAGAGTAGTCCACCCCCCTTTGCTCATCCACTGGCACTTACAGTCTCCGTCACTCAGCCTGAGACACGAACAGTCGAAAGAAGAAAGGGCTTCATTACTTACGAGTGAACGGATTAAACAACAAACTGACCGACATGACTGCTTTCACCAATAGACTTCACTGCTTCCAACAGACAACACACTCACAGACACAGAGCACTTTGCAATGACAAAGAGAGATGTCAAAATAAATAAAATAAACATATTATAGGATTGAGGTTATACTGTTTCCTTCCCCCTATCGACTCCGAGGGCTGTAACATGCACTCAAAGGCCCTTTCCAAAAGAAAATTCTAATTCTAATTAATCCTCTCAAAAGCATAGATCATTGTTTTTTTTAATGAAAAGTCCCTAAAGAAATAAAACCACAGCAATCTGAGCCGAAGGAAGCATAAATTAATCCCATGTTCGTCAATTTCGACAGGCTAAATTATTCATAGGAACACACACACACCCGTTTTGAGCGGGGGAAAAGCATAATCACTTTTGAATTATACGGATCTCGACTTCAATTATTCCAAATTCCTAAGGTTTCCAATAGGAAAGAAGACGCCCCTCCATGAATCGACTGCAGACTTTCTTGGCCTCGTTCTCTTGGAACTGAAGAGCTGAAATCCACTTGTGAATTTCAAGTCAAAACTCCATGTCGGAAGGGCTTCCGCATTTATTTATTTATTTGTTCGTTCGTTCGTTGTTCTCAGCTGCAATCACACGGATTTCATCCAAGTTGGAAATATGGCTATCCTAAATTTTTTGGTAAAAAAACTTTGAAGTCATGGTTTTGGTGTGAAAACATATTTTTATTTTTTTTTAAAGTTCAAGGGGATTTGAGCAAAGACACATGGTTTTGGGCTGGACTCCCTCACCCTGGGCCATTTTGGCTGGGGATGATGGGAACTGGTGTCCAAAGACTCCTGACAAACCAAAACTTCCCCATCCATGCACTGGTTGCAGATGACGGCATGGGAGCTCAGGCATTTTAACAGTCAGGGTTGGACTAGATGACCTCCTGGATCCCCTTCTGCCTTTGATTCAAAGCACCCGGCGCCCCTAATGAATTATTATTCAGAAATAAACTTTGAGAAAGGCAGTGTGGTCTACGGGAACTTTACAATTGTTCTACCTGTGGGTGGGGAACACTCGGCGGCCCTCCAAATATGTAAGACTACAAGCCCCATCACCCTCACCAAGGAAGGCTAGCAGAGAGGGCTGATGGGAGATGGAGTACAACGAGATTTGCCCAGGGAGGCGGGTTCCCCACTCCTGCTTGAACTGGAAATATACACGAAAAAACACCCAAGCATTTACAAGTGGGTAAGGGCAGGGCATCTCTTGGCTCCCCAGAGAGAAGTGGCTCCAGGATTCGAACCCGCAACCATCCTCATCCTGAATGTAACGTCCTCATCCCATACCACTAAGGCAGCTCCGAATCCCATGAGCACTGAGATGCAAAGCAATTCGGCACAGCACCGGGAACAAATTGTGTGGGGGGGAAAATCCAGTGCTTTGATGCTAAGATATTCACTTGTTACCTCGTTCAAACCAGCCGGGTAATTACCGGTACCACTGAAATTACAAGAGAGCAGATCCTCCTAGTGATGCAGTTCAGCTGAGGAACGGAGGTGGACGGATCACACCTTTTAATACGCGACAGAGCCTGCCTGAAACTTAATAATCTTAAAACGGCAGTGCCGGAAAGGAACAATGGCTCATGGAGTCCAGCTGCTGTCAGGGAGGGCCAGAAGGGGATTCAAACTCCCAACCTCTGTCTCTGCAGCCAGAGACCTCAACATAGGACGGAAAAGGATCTGCTGGGATCCAGCGCATCCTGGGGGCTGCATTACGAGGGCAGGGCCCTGCAGGACTTTGAGCCAGGGTGCTAAAACCTAGGGGGCACCAAGATTTCCTGCCAGGAGGATGCCTAGAGCAGTTTTCAGAGGAGAAGTAGAAAGGAGTAAGTAGAAAGAATACAAGGGTTTGTTACTTACAGCTGAACCGTTCAAGCAGCCAAGTGGTCAACGTGACTGCTTTCAGCAAACAGACCTCAACAGCAACCGACAGCTTCCAACAGACTCTTGAGTGGGGATGGCGCTGAGCAAAGAGGGGAGGCGAATTCAGAGGCAGGAGGGAACCATTGGTTAGTCCTGGATAGAGTGAAAGGTCCCTCTCAGCCACACCTACGAGAGGCAACCTGCGAGGTTGTTAAAAACTCACCCTTTGCTGCCGGAGATTCTTGATCGCTGACCCTGAGAGGCTGGAACTCTTAGGGTTTGAAGTCGAGAAAGCCAAGTCCGCCACCTCAACAAGGGCCCCGTTGTCTTCCAACCACTAGGCAGCCCTCCCAATTTGGCTTCACTTTGCCTGCTTCTCTCCGTCTCGATTCAACACACCGTGCCTGCCATCATCTCCTGACGTCTTGCTCTTTGGGAGAGATCATGTACCTGATTTCCAGGGAACAGATCCTTCCAAAACTTTGACCGCTCACTTCGCTCTACTTGTCAGCAAATAAACAGGCTGCATGGTGAGTCACCGGTTTTATTTTGCTCTTCTTGGTCACCGAACGGCTTTTTCTTCATCTTTCATGAGTGGTGCATGGACGGAGATCGGGAACCCGATACTTATGAAGGGTCTTCCTGCTCCCTCTGCCTGGCTGAAGACCAGCCTCGAACCAACACCACCAAGGTCTGGCAGAAGGGCTGAGCCTCCCGCATGTCGTGTGAAAAGAAGCTTTAGAGGCTGCACACCAAACAAAAGCAGACAAGGTGACGCAGCAGCAAAAAAGGCTAACACCATGGTTGCACCCAGAGAACTCTAGTGTCCCTATCAAGGGCAGCAACATGATCACTCCCTTCTGTTTCAGACAGGACTGGCTGGGAATGATGCGTCCAGTTCTGGGCACAGGTGTTGAAGGAGGACGTCCACAAGCCAGAATGCGTCCGGATACCAAGATGATGCCACTGGCCGTCTGTTGGCTAGGCTCGGGGGGGTTCAGTTACCCCAGTGGCCCCAGGCCGTTGAACATCTGCACAGCCTTCTCGTGGACTCAGAAAGGAGAAGCATGGCACGGGTTGCTGGCATCTTTTTCAAGTCTTTCTGGGCTTGCTCTGCGTGGGGCCTCGTGTCCCAAAGTGAACGTTCTCTCTGTTTGCGCCGCAACCCTTTTTTTGCATGGAGGATGGAGACGCCAGCAGGAGATCCGTGTTTTGCTCTCCGACTGGAGGCTGGAAGGCTCGACCAGGCCTCGGAAACTCTTCCTCAACATGCTTCTCAACCCCCTAAATTGATGAAAAGGAAGGTTTTCATCAACCTTTCTTTGGCTGGACTCCATTGAGTAGAAAGGCAGAAAAGCCGATCCAGGCTAAACACACCAGGAAATGCTCTAAAGGCAAATGAATGTCACGAAAATCTTGGGTTTTCAGGATAGGAGATATTGAGTATATTGTTTTGAAATGCTGTACCTGCAATACAGCCACACGAAACGAGACGTTCGCTGAATTTAAGGTCCCACTCTCCCCATCTTGATATTCTGCATTTTTTTTCACCCTTTACAGTAAAATTTGCTAACCTTCAAAGAAACGGTCAGAGCAGCCTCGTGACCACTTGTCTGAATCCTTTCAGAGACATGATGTTCCCCGCGCCCCTTTGGTGTGTGTTTCTTCTTCAACCTGAGAGTAAAGACAGCGTGACGAGACATCCCCGCTTAACCCCGTGGCTGAATGAAGCTGTTGGACTTAGCAGGCAAAGTGGGGCTGCCTTCCGGAGGTTGCTTCGACTGCAACGCCCCATCATCCTCTCTCTACAAGGTGGGATCCGGGACTCAAGGCAGAGTCTCCCCTCCTCCCTTGTGTGGGGTGGGAGGGAGAACCAGGCTGGGACAAGATGCTCCTTGCGGGACCCTCCCGCTCGGCTCTGCGGCAAAACCCGGTGCCGTCGGCCGGGCACAATCCCCGGGAGAGGTTGGTGATCAGGCGACCAGTGCTGTGGCCGAGCCTGGCCCAGCTCCAGCAGGAACGAACCTTTCCGGCTGCCCCGAGAACCCACTTCCGACGAACGCAAGAGGCATCGGAAAACCCACACTGGGTTCAATCACGAGTCCGTCTTCCCCTGGACCCCCGTTTCTGGTGGGGGTTGGCGGGAGCCCCCAAGGAAGCCCGCAAATGGGACACAAGAAAACAGCCAGCCACTGGTGGGGTGCTGAACCCCTGGCCTGACGGGCATATCTCCAGCCCCCCCCAGCCAGCCAGCCTACAGGTGAGCCAAAAATGCAAGGACTTCCGGGCCAGCAACGTCCAGAGGGCCACAGGCGGCCCACCCCACGTTAAAACCAGCCGCCATTCGGATGACACCTCCCATCGTCTCCGACCACTGCACCTGCTGGCCGGGATTTTCTGGGAGCGGAAATCCGAAGCGACTCGTGGCTCAGGGCTTAAACTGCAGCCGAAACTCGGCTCACGACCCGGGTTCCACCCCTGGCCACCGGCTCGAGGTTCACTCAGCCTTCCGGCCTTCCAAGACCCGAGGGAAGGGGCTCTGGGTCACCTGCGTCATTATGCATCACCCACCCAGCGAGCACTTTCTGCGCTATGAGGTGGAAGACCTCCAGGTAAGATTTCAGACACAAAGGGGAACAGACGCCTGTCCAATATTCCTGTAGAGGAAAAGACTGGCTTAGATGACAAGGGAAAACAACCTTCCAGACTCTGGGGGAGCGCAGTTCCCAGCATCTCTCCTCACTGGCTAAGGCTGATGGGAGCTGTAGTCAAACAAAGTCTTCTGGCCCATCCCAGCCCTAATGCCGGATCCGCGCCTCCTCGGCATGGTTCCGACAGGTTGGGAGAAGTGGCTGTGTTGACCCCAAGACATTTCTCCGCCTGAAGCAGAGAGTGGTTTCGGCACCTTCCACCCGAGACAACGGCCGGCCGCCATCCCCGGCTAGTGCCAGTCCCTGGGTTTCGGCAGATCCGTCTTTAACCATGAGAAGGGCTTCCGTGGGGGGCTTTCCCACGCCGGCTTAGGTCCTGGGTTCGCCTTCGGTGGCCGGCCCCTCTGCCATTGTGAAGCAACTCAAATTCAGTGCAGGCAAAGAGAACTACTGAAACTTCGGAACCTTCCACCTGAGCCGGTAGGGAAACCTCCATCCTAGCCCCCTCCTTACCCCCAAGATGATGGGACATGTTTCCTCCCAGTGGCATGGGGTTCCACTGGAGAGGGAACCAGCCACCTTTCAAAACTTCCCATAGCTCCCTTAGGTCATGGGGGGCCGGGCAGTTTCAAGAGGCCCAGGACCTCCCAGAACCGGTCGTCGTTTTATATACTGCATATATATAATGGATCTATATATTGAGGACCCAGAAAGCTCCCTTGCTCCCTAGTGGCAGATTTTTTAAAAATTAAAAACAATCAAAGTGAGGGTCCCGAAAGCCGGCCCTTCGGGGCTCCCCCTTCAAGGACCCAGAGGGGGATTTCGGAACCAAAATGCTTCATTTACATCGGAAAAAGAGGGGGACCCTCTGCTGACCCCTCCCTCCACGCTTTTGAGTTTCCAAGAATGCCTTTGCCTGGCCTCAGCGCCAGCCCTGCCAATTCTGGAGGCAGTCGGTTCCACAGGCACACAGCTGGTGTGCAGCAGAACCACTGGCCAAAAAGTTCAGCCTAAACCCATGTTGGCACATATATCTCTGACGGTCGCTTGAAATATGTTCATTTTTTCCAGAGACCCATGTAGCATGATCTTTATAGGGGGGTCTCAGCTGTTTTATCAGCCTGTCCCACCTCACAGGGCTGTCGTGAAAAGAAGTAAAGCAATATGGAGCTGAGAACCAGGTTTTCGACTCATGGGAGAGAAAACAGCCATGTCCCTTTTTTAGAAGGAAACTGTGGGTTTTAAAAACTCTCCTAAATAAAACATTATTATTACAATTAATAAAATGACTATTACTTCATTCAAGAGACTCTTTAAACCAGGGGTGTCCAACCTTTCACCTTCCCTGGGCCACTAGCTGTCCTTTGCAGCCCCGCTCCAAGCACGCTTACCAGCACCTGCGATCTCAGACAGCAGAGGCTGCCAGCTTCGACTCCGGCGGCTTTATGGGGCCGGGAGGGGGTCCACCTATTGACGGGGACGGCGCAATGCAGTCACGCAGCCCCCCTGTCCCCTCCCCTCCCACTCCTTCCTTCCCTCTCTCCCCCTCTACTGTTGTGACATGCCCTGGCCACATTCCAGCCGCAAGCGCCGGCAGTGTATCTTGAAACTTTGGAATTTCTTAAAAAATAAAACATTGCCCTGGGCCGTATTACGAGCCACCCTGGGCTGCATGCGGCCCGTGGGCCGTGGGTTGGACAAGCCTGCTTTAAACCCTTCTTTTCCCCACTGGAAAATATTATTCAGTAATTATTTTATTTAACAGACTTTAAAAACTCTTTTAAGTTACTGCAAAGCAGAGGTAAAGTGGGGCAGGGGGAAAAGAGGAAGACCCACATGTGAGATGGGCTGACTCAGGAAAAGAAGCCACAGCCTCGCGCCCACAGTAACGGAGCAGGGCCATTAATGACTGGATTTTTCTGGAGGCCACTCATTCAAAGGGCTCCGATAAACCAGAAACACCATGATGGCACGTGACGACAACCAGCGCAAGAAACCGCTGCTCGTTTCAGAGCATCAGACCAAACGATGTTTTAAGAGCAAATGCATTATGAAAGAGAATCGCAAAGGAGTAACACAACAAGCGTTACAAGAGGGAAAGAAAACCAGATTCTGCCGGTATTTTTAAAAGGTGGGGCAGCATCTCTTATGAGAACACAGATGATTGGGGGGGCAGCCTTGAGCCAGATATGGGCCAGGGCTTTTCCATCTGGTGTGCAGGCCTCTGTCATTATCTCCCTTCAGCAATTAGAGATAAGAGCTCATTTGAAGCCAAACCTCTGGTTTGTGTTCTAGGATGCCAGAGTAGGCAACGGGGGTTTTCAAACGTGAACCGAGCTGCATCCTGCATGCTTAGTGAGGAAATAAAACATCCAAATTGGTAAAGATTACATCTGGAGCCACCCTCTTCACTTTGACCCCACGCTTGCGCCTTGCCAAATTCTCAAACATTCAGTTTAAAATAGTTAAGACACACTTTCCCAAACTAGAAAAAGTCAGGCCAGAAATTCATTCCCCCCCCCCACAATCAAAATAGAAAAAAAACCCACAAAAGCTAGGGAAATTTGAAGGCAGTCAGAAAAGAGGAAGACTGAACATGAGATGGTTGGACTCAATAAAGGAAGCCACAGCCTGGGGGTTGTAAGACTTGAGTGGGGCTGTTAATGAGAGAGACTTCCAGATATCATTTATTCAAAGAGTCACCATAAGTCAGAAACAACTAGATGGCACATCATAGCAACGATCCACTCTTATACCTTAACTTCCACTCCACATAGACACTTTAACTTCCACTCCACATAGACACTTTAACTTCAACCCAACATAGACACAAGAAGGGATTCTATGAAGAGAAACATTCTCTCTTGAGTCCATTAAACACTTGATGGGACTTCCTTCCCACCAAATCCAAATCACTCTAGACTGGGCTCCCTCCCCAGTGGCATCTCCTCTTACCTCTTCCCACTGGTGGATATAACGGATGAGCCGAGATAGGCGAAGCAAACGCAGCAAGCTGAGGATTTTAGTGAAACGGACAATGCGCAAGGCCCGGGCTGTCTTGTAGACCTCCGAATCAATCCCTTTCTCCACAATTAGGAAGATATAATCCACCGGGATGGAGGAGACGAAATCCACCACGAACCACGTCTTCAGGTATTTCTTCTTGATCCGCTCTGGATCCAAGATGATTTCCGTATTGTCCTCGATCACGATGCCCGTCCGGAAGTTCATCACCAGATCCATCAGGAAGAAAGTGTCGGAGACCACGTTGAAGACGATCCACGGGGCCGTGGTCTCGTCTTTGAAGAAGGTGATGCCCACGGGGATGATGATGAGGTTGCCCACCATGAAGAGGAGCATGGTGAAATCCCAGTAGAACCTACCAAGAGGAGGAGGAGAAAAAGCAGCATAAGAACAGGAGAAACCACCCCAAAATTGAAGCTGAATTGTTTCTCCATGTGGCCTCCTATCACTGGCTCTGACCGGCAACTGCCGTCCAGAGACCTCCAGCCCTATGAAGCAGATGAACCCTCTTGAGTGTACACTTTGGATCAACAGCTCTCTAGAGGTCGTCTGAGAAGGTTTCTCCCAGCTAACCTCCCACACGCTCCTTTTGACCTGAAATGAAGGAGACTGAATCTGCATGTTTTTGCCCCAAAAGCTAGTGGCTTAACCCTGGGAGATGTCCTTCTTCAAAATACACTATTTCTAGTCCTCATGATGCTGAATTAGCAGTAAATTTAAATTGAAACCTTCCCTTAGAGGAGGTTGAAGTGGCTGCCTAGGGAGGCCAGTGCTGCCTGCTCTGACCAGCAGCTACTCTTTCCAGGGATTTTCGGCCCGGATGGGTTTTTCCCATCCCACAATCCTCGCTCCTTTCAAACTGGAGGTCCTGGGGTGGGATGGGGGCTTCCCCTCTATTCAAGAGGCATCGGCGCCGGCTCGTTCATCCAACCAGACCGCCACGCGTGGCGTAGGGGTCAGACCATCTCTCACACTGGCCTACTTAGCAGGGCTGTTCTGCGAACGGAGCAAGGAGACCTGATGCCTTAAAGTAACCGGAGCAAAAATACATCAGCCTTTCCATCAGGCTTCTTCAAAATCTCCCTTTTTAAAACCTGTTTTTCAAGCTTCTCCTACTTATAATAATAAGAATAAAGGAAGGCTACAATAATAAATAAATAATTTATTATTGTAACCTTCCTTTATTCTTTAAAACTATAAGCTGCCTTGGATCCTTTAGACCGCATGTAAATATTTTTAAATAAATACAGTACATACTGAGCTCATAGAAATGCAAATAAAAAGAGATAACCAAAGGAAACTGAAGGAACGTGTGTGTTGATATATCTCGCTGCCTTTCCTCATAGCCACTCCACATCTGCTCTCACCGTCTTCCACCACTCCCTGATCGAGAGCTTTCGTTTCACGATGGAAAGAGCAGCAAAATACTAGGTTTGTGGCCGAGCAAGATCTGAACTCAGGACCCCAAAATCTACAGGCTTTGGAGGGTACACCAGCTTCAATGCCTCGACACCCCGATTCATTTAAAAAAAAATCTTTAAGATTTTTTTAAAGATTTAAAGACGACAATCCGGGGCTGCTTTGCCCGGATAAACATCCGATCCCACTAGGAATTTTCTGTTATCAGAGTCCCCCTGTAGGTGGAATGACCCCGGGAGGCTTTTCAGGTCTCGGGAGAAGGAAGGGGGGGAATCAAGGGGGTCCCCCCAAAAGGAATATCTGGGACAACCCTTTCTTTAAAAGCGAAATCACATTTCCTTCCAATCTAGAAAGAGGCATTGCCTGAAATTCCCACAATCGTACCTTTTTTTTTTTTGTGCAGGAAATGGCAAGAAATGTTAAACTTCTTCCTTCCTATCACCGTCGAACACACATGCAAATATTAAACCGGGATTTTTTTAAATATATATTTTTTAGAAATAGGGAAGAAAAGAACTGTCACTCTTTGACATTGAGAGCAGCTTGCGTGGGGAATGTTGTCGCAGCGACTGGTAGGAATGTCACCGGCGCACAGCTATGACCTCAGGGAAGCAGCCAATGCACCCGTCAAGTCTCCCCCCCAAAAAAATATCCCATCCAGGGGGTTACCAGGAAGGGGGGGGGGTAGGATGATCCAGAAAGCAAGCACATTTGCTTTAATCCAGCCTCATGACTTCCCAGCCCAAGTCTGTGACACCCCAAGAGCAGAACCGAAGCTTAACAGCCTCCATTTCCTGCAATTTCCCAGTGGCTTGGATTTTAGGGATAGACTGCTCCTGAGGCTGGGGGCGCCCCTCGTCCTTTGCCACCACGATGAGGTTTATGGATAAGCCGAGGGCGGGGGAAATCCTTTTCCGCCTCGGGGCCCGATTCAAGGACCCACATACTTCCAGAGAGTGACACGCGGAGGGCCTGCCACAGTCGCCTGTTTGAGCTTTAAAATCCACCAGTAATTGAGGGGAAACATGCGGGAAATTTGAGATAAGATAAATTCCCGGGGGAGGGGGGAGAGGCTGGATTCAGCAGGAAGTTTTGAGGTTCCCGATGCCCCCCCAACGTAAAGGAGAATTTCCCGACTGCCCATCCGGAATCTGTGACACACACCCCCTCACACACGTGTGTATTTGACCGGGTTCACTTCCACCCGCTCGCCCCCAAACATGCTCAAACCAACAGGGAAGGCCCATTCTCACGTTCCACACACCGAGACCTCCTCCCCCTCCCGGCCATTTTCGTTTGCCTTTGTCATGCCTCCTGAGATGGATCGCTGTACTCTGGCCTACGTGGGGTTGGCTGGACATGGGTTCGAGTCCCCGCGGATGCAGGAAATTTAAAATAACTCTGCATGATTCAATTTGCATCATAGAATAACACTGTGGGGACAGAAATCAATGCTCTTTCCATGCCGGGAAATTCCCCCCCCCCCATACTTCAAAGATTAGAATTTGCATTTTTTCTTTATTTAAAAAGAAAAAGCGGGCCGTGATCTGTTCCTTAAGGGGGCTCAGCTCCGTTTTGTGGCTCTCGCAAAACCAGTTCGGCCCGGCTTCGGCGAGGCAAATTTTGGAAGCCATCGAACAGATGGGGAAGGCGAGGCCCGGCCTTTTGACGGTCTGGATCTCTGTCTTCAGCTGGCCCGCCGGTTCTTTCCTTCCCTCCTCCTCCTGCGCCAGTGAAGAGCCAAACCTGGCAGGCAGCCGGATCCCAAGGGGGAAGCTGCCAAGGCAGGGCTGCGTCCTTGGAGGGCGGCCAAAGCAACCCCTCACCCCCCCCTCTTGCCCTCCAAAAAAAGGACCCTGATGTCTGCATTTGTCCAGTTCTTCCTCCGGGCAATTTGGAGGGAGAAGCGCAAGGGAGGACAGAAGGCAGGAAATGAAGGCAGGGGTGCAGAGTGGAGGAGAAGGATTTTTTTAAAATGTTGTTTTTAAATTTTTATTAAAACAAAAACAATTACAACAACAAAAATACAAAAAATATTGCTGTTTGAGACTACATTCTAACATGCACCCCATACCGACGGGACCCCATTGAACAATTTTTATTGCAAATTTCCTTTGTAAAATTGTATGGATTGCTTTGCTTTGCTTTGTTTAGAGGCTTTCCCCTTTCCTTTCACTAATACAAATTCAACAAATCTACCCCAAATAGCATAAAAATATTAGAACTTATTTCCCCTCTTTTCATCTGGAGTTCTGTAGTCAATTTATCATTTAATGCGATGTCCCATACTTCACTATACCAATCTTCTAATTTAATATCATTTTTGTCTTTCCAAAACCTAGCTATTAATATTCTAGCACTTGTCATAAAATTGTTGATAAATTCTTTCGAATAATAATCTAAATCTGCTTTGTCAAAAATTGACAATAAAGCAATTTTAGCATTAAATTCGATACCTTTTCCAAATATATCACATGTTTCCTTAAAAATTAGTTTCCAAAATTTCTTAACATTTTTACAATCCCACCACATATGATAATACGTACCAATTTTCTCATCACATTTCCAACAAGCTTTAGGGTATGCTGATTATTGTATTCAATTTTACAGGAGTCAAATACCATCTTAAACAGATTTTAAAAGATTCCTTTATTCTTATCAACATTAATAGAGTATTAAAACTCTCATCCTCCACATTTTTATCCAGTCCTCTATTTTAATTTCTGTCTTTAAATCATTTTCCCAAATTAATTTCAAACCTTCTGTTCCCCATTCTTTTTCGTCTTGTTCCAAAATGTTATATATTCTACTTACTACTTCCTTCATCATTAGATCTTTCTGCATGGGATGACAGAAATTGTTCGTACTTAGGGGAAGAGAAGAAAGGGGAGGACCAGGAAGCAGTACAACTAAGGGACATTCTCTTCTTCTTCCCAGCTGATACATGTGGATTGAAGCACAATATGGAGATTGAAAGAATATGGAGACCTTCTGGCTTCTGTTCTCCCAGTCCCAGAATTCTGCCTGAAGGAATCTAGCTGAATTCTGGGACTGGATGTCCTTATAATTAAAAAGTTCCATTCATTGTAGATGATGCTGTGCTAAATGGACTGAGTGACTCAGTAAAATAGTAAGGGCACTCTTTATGCATCTATCAAGGAAAAGAGGAAAATATAACATTAAAAAGAAAGAGAATGGAGGGCCTAGGTTTATAAAAGGACATGCGTGTAATTTATAAAGGTGAATATTTAGAAACAGGAAAGGAAAAGGAAAAGGAAAGGAAAAGGCAGGAAGGAAGGAAAGGAAAAGGAAGGAAAGGAGAAGGAAGGAAGGAAGGAAGGAAGGAAGGAAGGAAGGAAGGAAAGGAAAAGGAAGGAAGGAAGGAAGGAAAGGAAAAGGAAGGAAGGAAGGAAGGAAAGGAAAAGGAAGGAAGGAAGGAAGGAAAGGAAAAGGAAGGAAGGAAGGAAGGAAAGGAAAAGGAAGGAAGGAAGGAAGGAAAGGAAAAGGAAGGAAGGAAGGAAGGAAAGGAAAAGGAAGGAAGGAAGGAAGGAAAGGAAAAGGAAGGAAGGAAGGAAGGAAAGGAAAAGGAAGGAAGGAAGGAAGGAAAGGAAAAGGAAGGAAGGAAGGAAGGAAAGGAAAAGGAAGGAAGGAAGGAAGGAAAGGAAAAGGAAGGAAGGAAGGAAGGAAAGGAAAAGGAAGGAAGGAAGGAAGGAAGGAAGGAGAAAAGAAAGGAAGGAGAAAAGGAAAAGGAAGGAAAGAAAATAAAGAAGGAAGGAAGGAAGGAAGGAAGGAAAGGAAAAGGAAGGAAGGAAGGAAGGAAAGGAAAAGGAAGGAAGGAAGGAAGGAAGGAAGGAGAAAAGAAAGGAAGGAGAAAAGGAAAAGGAAGGAAAGAAAATAAAGGAAGGAAGGAATGGAAAAGGAAGGAAAGGAAAAGGA